AGCTGCTCCTTTGCAGCGGCTTAGTACTGTAATCACGTGCTTTGCTGTAATAATGCAGGGAACCACTCATTATAAATCTCCTAACTGTGATATTTTCAGAAATAGAAGTTGCGTTTTTTCATCTGAAACGTGCTGCGATTTATATTCCAAAGCCACTCATATAATGCAGAAATGCTCAAGCAAGAAAAACACGCGCAACGCGGGGACATATTTGTACTGATGCGGAATGAGAGGACAGCAGTACAGCCTAGCGCATTTCACACAGGCTGCTAGATTCACTTTCGCCAGAAAGTCGTGTATGCCTAAGGATGAAAAAAAAATTATGTTTATAGTGAATGCCCCTATAAATGGTCTTATTTTTATGCTTTAATTTTAATGATGATGCATGTGCTAAGTGAGTGAACATTAAAGATCACACAACAGAATTGCGCGCTCTCTCTCTCTCTCTCTCTCTCTCTCTCTCTCCCTACCGTTAAGTAACTTGTGCATTGTTTTACTTACTTGTTTATGACATATCCGACCGAACTACAAACTTTCCAGTGATGTCTGTGAGAAAGGTATATTCACTCGACAAGCTCGCGCATCTGCGCCGCCGCGCGCTCAACCCACTCAGCGTGCTTTGTTTATCAGCTCGCGCACATCAGCTATACAGGCGTTAATACTGAATGTTTAACGTTATATTCATTGCATACATATACTTCGTAGTAGACATCCTTAACTCCTTTCTGCTGTCGGTTGTTCTGTTGTTGGTGTTTCTTTGTCTGAATATGGCGCACACATGCTGTGTGGTATCGGCGTTTGGTATCGGGGCATTTTAACGAGTACGAGTACAGGAGCTCAGTATCGGGCCCGATACTGGTGCATCCCTAATATATATTATATTATATTATACATATTATTCAGTCTTTTCGCTTATTCAAATAAGACATATAACAATTTCGGTTGCCAAACATTCGGTGCATCCCTAAATGAAAGTGTATATAGTATTTTGTTAATGTGCAATAGAATGATTCAGAAACTGATGATTCAAATATTCGGTTATCACCTGATGGTAAAATACTCATGTATAGGTGACGTTTATAAATTCATATTGTATCGTTTAGATTAAATGTTTCATACTTTGGGTCCAGGTAATCCAGGCTGACCAGGCAGTCCGTCCAAACCTGGTCGTCCAGGAATACCAGGTCCACCAGGGGAACCAGCAATACCAGGAAATCCTGAAGAATATGGACAACACTGTTAGACATATGGACAAAACTGTTTCTCACTACCCAAGTTATAAAAATGACTATGTGGCACAATGCATGTTTCTAGAGAAATTAACTGGCATGTAATGCTCATTTTATCCTTTAAACTATTTTTAGTGAATTGGAAAACACATAGCAGCAGACAATCTACATGAGTCTATTAGTGTTTCAATTGCAGGAAAACATTGTACCTTTAGAACCAGGGGGTCCTGGCATACCAATACCAGGAAGACCAGGATCTCCTTTGGGTCCAGGTAAGCCAGGGAACCCAGGCTGTCCTGGTAGGCCTGGATTACCTGTACAGATATAGAACCAGTCTCTGTTGAACTCTGAATTCCCCACCTGCTCCATATGCATTTAAGACAACTAAATGTATGCTGACAACTAGGGCTGTGCGATATTTAAGAAAAATGTGATATGCGATACCTTGTTAAAAAATGCGATATTCGATATGCGATACGATATTGCTTAAAGTGCGTAAAATCAATTTAAATGATATTTTAAAATATTTAAAAATGAATATTATATAACCAATTTGTTTCACATTCTTTCTTGGAAAATAAAGAATCACTATAACTTCTGAAAGTGACCAGCTGTGTTTTAGCATTACTTAAAAAGTAAAAGTAAATAAAAAGTGATGAAAGTGTAATTTAACATCAATGTGAACTTATAAACAAAAAAATTAATGACACTACTTTAATATCATTGTAACTTTGCTTTCCACACACTTTAAGTACTTCTTCATATACCACAGCAAAAACTATAGTCTGAGAAAGTTCAAACATGATTAAAGGCAAGTGAACAGTCAGTAAAAAATAAGAAAGAAATAGAAAAAAAAGAAATACACAATTTACAAGCATAGATCAAATAAACAGTCGTATTCAGGTACAGAAATGTAATAATTAAGTGTAAAATAACACTGCATAGTGTTCACTATATGAATTAAATTTAGATTCATCTTTGTTATAGCCGTTTTGTTAACATTAGTGTCATATTCAGCAGCATGTATTTATAGGCTGCTGTCCCTTTAAATCCGACTGCACGGATTCAGTATAATGTTACACATCCGATTTCTTTCTCAGCTGTTTACATTAATTTAAAACATAACTGACTGCGTTTACGAGAATGATCATCATAATTCTGTGTGTATGTGTCTGTTCAAACATAAGGAGGAGATGCGAAAGACGAATCAACTCGGTCTGAAACGCGTCTCTCTGTGTGTGTTCAGGTGTGAGTCAGAGAGCAAGACGAGACGGCAAAGAGTTGTTTTCTGCAACTTATTGCACTTAATAACTCTTTTTAACGTCAAGCAATTCTCTGCTATATGCGTCGAACTAAAACTTTGACCTTTTGCAACGTTTTGATTTAAGTAGCCTATTATTAAAATGATAATGATATCGCACGCCGTTGCGATATGCATATTGCGATATTTACATTTGCGATATTTCGATATATCGTGCAGCCCTACTGACAACTATAGTCGGTTGTTTTTTCTTTACCTGGACTTCCTGGCAAACCTGGATCTCCATCACGTCCTGGGGGTCCACGTTCACCTTTATCTGACACTGCCAACCCAGGTTCACCTTTCTGACCTACCCATTCAGACAAACATTGAGATGATGTAATGTCCATTGTAAGATCACTGCTACACTGAAACATGCCAAGCTACAAGTTAAAGTAGTCAGCTGCAATTCTAGTTATCACATAACAGGAATCTACACTTATTTACCTTGATTAGTGCAAAAACAGCATATGTGTAATTTATATGATTCACATTTTGAACTGACTCACAGGCTTAAAATAATTTGAACTTAAAAACAAGACAAAAATATTGCTTTTTACCTGGTGCTCCAGGGGCCCCTGATCTTCCTGAAACACCCTGGATACCTTTCTCTCCAAGAGGTCCCTGAGGACCAAATCCTGGGGGACCCGGCAGACCCCTGTCTCCTGGAGATCCTGGCAAGCCAGGTTCACCTGATGAACCTTGTGAGCCTTTCACTAATGCCGAACCCTGTAAGAAAAATAGCTTATTTCATTGCAAATTGTTTTGTGAACCTGTAATTAAAGTCATGCAAAGCCTTGGTTTCTTGTAATAACAACAAAAAGTGAGTTTACATAGAAATCTTAAATTCAGAGCAATAAAAAAGAATCATTTTTAATTCTGAGGGATAAATAGAGGATGAAAATGTTCTCCAAAGGTTGACTAAGTTAAAATGGCAATTTAGTAGTCTGAGAATTATTATTTTCATCATCAATTACTATTGCCTGGCCTGCCTGGTATTATTATATCTGTGTATTATTATATATCAATGTACTTAACTGTATAAAAGACCCAGAAGTTGTACTTTTAATGAAAAGTGAACAAACACTCACAGGTGGTCCTCTGAGGCCTGGGGGACCGGGAACTCCATCACGACCAGGTCTTCCGTCGAGTCCTGGCAGACCTGAAGTGCCAGGAAAGCCTGTGTCTCCCTTTTCTCCTTTCACACCTGGAACAGAGAGTGCATCGCCTGGGTCGCCCTTCTCTCCAGGGACTCCAGGGAGACCCTGAGGTCCTGGTATTCCCTAAAGTGTAGAAGTGTTAAGTACTTATGTGTTTCTTAATCACTCTGAATCATCTGTCACTTTAAACAAAAAGTGAGTTATCCAGAATGTGTGAGGAAGCACTCACAGGTGGGCCCATGAGCCCTGGCCCTCCCGGGAATCCTCTGTCTCCGTTAGATCCAGGCAAACCAGGTGCCCCTGACATAAAAATAAGTTTAACATGCAGCTTGAAAAACATCTGTGCTTTATATAAAACAGCTGTTTGTTGTGAGATTAAAGTTTTGTTCTTTAGTCCTAAAGAATATAGACAAAATGTACTGTGAAGATACTTATTTTAAGGGTGCATTTGCACTTGTAGTTCGGTTCTCTTTGTTTGTTTGGTCCGGACCAAAAAAGAAAATGATACATATGGTCCTAGTCCGCTTAGCGTTCACACTGGCATTTTTGAAGTGAACCTAAAGATACCGAAACTAGGCATAGCCATACTTTCACAACCTGATTTTTTGGGTTAAATGATGTATATTTCGTCAAGGAACTTACTGAACACCCCAAACTATAGGTGTATTCGACTTAAAGTGGCACTGCGCAGACCGATCGATGAATGGGTATTTTGATGTCATGCACCGACTGGTCTGCGCAGTGCCACTTTAAAGGTGGGGTAAGCGATTTCTGGTAGCCAATGTTGACATTTGAAATCACCAAAACAAACCCGCCCCTATTTTGATAGCTCCGCCCCACACATACGTACGCAACCCAGGCAACGATTAGTTCTATGAAACAAAGCAAAACCAATGTTACACCGTGTCTACACCGGACGCGAGTGGCGCGGCGCGACAAAATACTATGGAACTCATTATAATCAGTGACACTGTCTACACATATAGATAATATATACATATCCATGGTCAACACTGGATGTGGCGCGGCACGACACGACAAATCCCCGACAGAAAACTGCTGCTGCGTTCTATTCATGACGTATTGATACAAATTTCAAATGATTTTCAACGGTCGCTTTGTCGCGTCCAGTGTACAAGACAGACTTTAGCTGTTGCGGCGCAGACACGGTGTTACTCACCTATCGAGAAGAAACAAAGCAACCTTGGCGTCTGATCGCAGGCCTTCCTCTCCTTGAGTTCTCTCCAGCGCTGGAAAGCTGATCTGATATTTACACGGGTCCTACTTCTTGCCTTATGCCTTTTTTTGTTCCGCAGATGTTTTCCTCTTATTTTTTATCCGCCAGCTCTATCTTTCTGTCGTTCGGTCCGTCATGTGCACTGAACGCTCTCTCCTCCACATCATGAGTAGACACGCCCCTTACTGCTGATTGGCTACAAGTTTGTTTTGCTAGTGGCCCGAATCAGTTTTCTAAAGCGTTTTTGAAAAATCGCTTACCCCACCTTTAAGTCACTTACACTTAATGCCGTCTGCTGGACTAAGCACGCTCATTGTTGCGTGTACATATCATTATATTTTTACCACCTGCGAACTCACGAAGAGCTCATAAAAGACACTTTTCCACCTCGTTGCTCCACATTTGCCCTCTGCCCATATTGTTTTGGATACACCGCTTGTTCCGTGTCATCAAATCATGTCGCAAAGCGTTGCATCTTGTCATTACATCCTGTATTTGGTTCATTTAGAAGTATTTGGTCCATGTTGCGTTCATATTTCATTCGAACCGCACCAGAGTTTGTTTGGAAGCGGACTGAGACCCATCTTTTTAGCGGTCTTGGTCTGCTTGTTTGGTGTGCACCAGGGTTCGGATGGCAGCGTTCACACTTACTCAAATGAACCGCACTAACAGAGCAATTGCACCAGAGTTCGTTTTAATTGAACCAAACATGACAAGCGTGAACACACCCTAAGTTGACTTACCTGGATATCCAGGAGGACCTGGAAACCCTGGGGGTCCTGGGACAGGGTTTCCATTAGTGAAACAATTGACACATGTCTCTCCTTTTTGACCTAAGACAGTTGGTATTAGAAATTATTAAACACAAATTTCCTCAAACCTTCCAAAGATACGTGTGTACATACAGAATTTTATTTTCTAATATGAAATAAAAAGCAAACCTTTCTGTCCTGTTCCTCCTGTAAATCCTTGCTCCCCCTGCAGGCCTGGAGGACCAGGAGGACCACGATTACATTCTGTGTTGCCATTTAATATTCCTGGGGGACCAGGAATTCCTGGAAATCCTTGGGAACCTGGTGGACCTGTACTCCCAGGTGGTCCAGGGAGGGAATTTCCAGGCTGTCCCTCATCACCTTTTTCTCCTCTCTCTCCAGGTAAACCTGGTGGACCGGAAGAACCTGGACCTCCAATTCCTATAATGACAGATTTATTTAATTCACTGCATTAATATATTAACATGAATTACACAAGACTTAACTGCAAATAAAAGGCTAAAAGAATTGTAATGAAAAGCTATGTGAAAGACATCACAAAATAATATTAAAAACTTTTAATTGAAAAAAAAAAGCTTACCTGCAGGACCTGATTGACCAGGTGGCCCCTGAATACCTACCAAAAGACAAATATGCATTGACTACTTATACACACAACATTGTAGAACATATTTTTATGCACCAACAGGAGATAAATTATATTTCTGGTTGCTTTCTTCAATGTCTGACCAGGTCACAATACATGACCACATAATTGTATCACCGAGAAGGAGCCAGATTCTGTTTCATGACAATGACACAAATGGCCAATACAAACTGTTAAATGGGACGTATTCATTTGATAATACATGCATGCTGTTCAGGGAACCATGCATGAGAAGCATGAGTAATGTTTTATTCTTTTTGCAAAACTGAATAAACTAACTTAAGTGTGACCTTGAGTGGTGTCTAAAGTGGCTTTCGTACTCCGTAGTTCGAGGAACTAGTCAGCATGGTGGTTCCTAGAGAACCATTTTCCTCCTTGGGCAGTTTTCCTGATTATATTCGGCAGAAGTGGCTGACAGTGATGTCTTTATGCGTGGCATTTACAAATGTCAGCAACCCGTGAATGAAGGACACTGTGATCGGAGTAGGGCTGGGCGATATGGCCAAAAAAATTATCAAGATCATTTTTTGCATATCAGTCGATATTCATAATTATCATGAATAATTGATAATTATCATGATAAATAACAAATCTTTATTTATTTCAAGTTTAAAGCCAGATTTGTGTTCCAAAGTGAAAGTTGTAGAAACCAGACCATTAATTTTCCATTAGTGTCTTAATAGAAATCATACTATAATTATATTCCATTACTCCTATAATGAAATTCAATAGGCTATGAATATTCCACATTTCTGCCACAATACCAACTGTTAGTGTTACTAGAGTTGTATTGTAAATTGTAAATTATTGCAATTTGTAGACTGAAAAGCCTTCTGACTGTATCGCTGCGCACAGTGTTTCTGCTGTTTGTCAGCACTGTTTCATCTGGCTTTAAACTAGTTTAAATCAGCGAGTCATTTGTGTTCTTCGCTGAACTCAAGTGCTTCACATGTGATCTCACAGCACTGTTTAGTGCTTGTTTGGCGCAAAAATATTATATTTAACATTTATCGAACTCTTCATATCGTTTTATAAAGAAAAATTATATCACGATAATTATCGCTATATATTTATCGCCCATGCCACCGAACATTCCTAAAAGCAGGTACTTCCGCCAATAGTTCTGTGCGAAAGCCCCTTAAATACCTGGCAGTCCTCTGTCTCCTTTAGTGCCAGGGAATCCTGGCTCGCCACTGTCTCCTTTTGGTCCTATTCCACCTATGCCTGGGAACGGCCCATTCTATTGGGTGAAAAGGTTTTTATAAGTAAACTAATGAATGTTAAAATATGATAAATAATCATAAATATCAAGTATCTGTAAAATGGCACATTAGAACAGAGACATAGTCAACATACCCTGTATGATGGAGGTCCAGGAGGTCCTCGATCACCTTTCTCACCCTAAAGGCATTAAAGGTGACATATCATGAAAATCAGACTTTTTCAGGTTTTAAGTGCTATAATCAGGTCCCCGGTGCATCTAACCATCCAAGGAAACGTGAAAAAGATTAACCCAGTAACTTTGTTTTGGGAAGTCTTTTTCTGCAAGCGTCTGAGAAAACGAGCGCGTCTGATTTTGCTCCTTTGGTGACGTGGCAAAGGGATCTCATTATAATATTAGCGCCCCTTAATCTGCAAGTTTACACCCACGGCGCCATTATTGCGTTTTCGCTAGTGACAACTGTGTACTAGTTTTAATGCCATAGCGAAGGTTTGAGCAAAGCATGCTAACTGTTCTGTCATTGGCTGCACAGACAAGCACATAACACTATTTACAGTCCCAGCCTCAGAGGAGACAAGACAGCAGTGGATTTACCGTATATTGCTGTTGCCACACAGATCTAAAATAAACATGCAATTTATTTCCCAGCTGTTTACCTTCACAGACATAACCAACTGTTTTTGTAACTCGTGTGTTTTTAATGTAAACTTGTGTGTGAATGAGAACTTAGTTTAGTACTCACATGCTGTGACAGCCGCTTTCTGTCTGTGTGCACTCAGAAAACCGTATATCAGAAGTTTAAACTCATATGGTTTAAAATGCATGATTTCAGTGCGATAAACATGATAATCAGAACCAAAACAGATGTTTTTTAGCAGGTCCGAGCTCTATTCTGGAAAAGGGGGCGGGGAGCAGCAGCTCATTTGCATTTAAGCAGAGAGGCCCGAAAAACAGCGTGTTTCTGCTTCCACTCAAAATAGGCATTTTCAAAATGATATAATAAATGATCTGTGGAGTATTTTGAGCTGAAATTTCCCAGACACATTCTGGGGACACCAGAGACTTATATTACATATTGTAAAAAGGGGCATAATATGTCTCCTTTAATAAAAGAATATATATACGTATATGTGATTTCAAAACAGGGCATTTTCTCAGAGGAGGCAAGGGAGGCAGTGCCTCCTCAATACTTTTTGGACAAAAAATAGTATGACAATGAATGCTATATTATGATAATATCCATGTTCATTCACAATATGTATGCAAATCCACCAGACAAAAATGGGAACTAATGGAATAATTACAACATCCTAATTTAAATTCAATTCAAGTAACAAAATGACCTGTGTGTGAGCTGGTTTTTATGAATGCTCAGCTCAGTTACATTAAAGCTGCACATCTGTGCCTGTGATAATCATTAGACAAGGTTTACTATGGATCTAATGTTGCGATCACACTGAAATGAACGTTCAGTACTTACTCTTGCACCATCTCGCCCCGATAGACCAGGAGGACCTGATTCTCCTTTATCACCCTAAAAAAGAGATGTCACAACAGTATTAAAGAATATCATCTATGTTATAAACCTTACTAAATATCTATTGTAGACAGCTTACTGGATATCCAGGGAGGCCTTGTTCACCATCTTTGCCAGGTTTTCCCTTATAAAATAAATATATCACCACATAAATGTCATAAAAACCTGTCTTTTGTAATCTGTAAACATAACTGAGTAGTTGGGGTTTCAGTAGGCTTCAACTCACCCTCTTTCCAGACTCCCCAGGTTCTCCTTTCTCACCTTTCTGGTCCCCTTGTGGACCCTGTCAGACAAAGACATGACTGTTCATTACAAAATAAACAAAAACAAGAAAGAAAGCATAATCCACATCATATGTACATATAATGTAATCTATCAGATGAATACTATACTACTGTGAGAGGTCAAGATGCCAGTGTGTTTTTAATGAATGTAGAATGGATCAAAAGGAAACAAAAAGAAAAATACATACAGGGGGTCCAGGGGGACCTGGAAAACCAGGATTTCCAGGTTGGCCGCGATCACCCTATTAAAAAACAAACATATCAAACCATTAATCAAAACATACATTCACAAAAGCATGATACACCTGCTATCATGCAATGTAACTCAGGAACATTTTACTGTTTGTCATTGTGTATGACAAAAAAGTAATTGAGTCGAATATGACCAAAAACTGGATTTAGGCTGGGAGTAAAATAAATAAATAAAATAAAATATAAATGTTAAATTAATAAGACTTTAAGTGCGAGATTTACTAACAGCTGCTGCCAGCACAACCCCTATTTTGACATTAAAAAAAACTACTGTCAGGGTTTACTAAAGACACGCATTGAAAAATTAGACTTGACAAGGCATGGACATGGAGTTATTTTTGTGGCTAACCTTCAGTGTTGGGGAGTAACTAGTTACATGTAACGGCGTTACGTAATTTAATTACAAAATAAATATAACTAATCATTTACAGTTACTAAGAAAAATGTGTAATTAAATTACAGTTACTTATGAAAATGTTAACGATTTCAAAAGGGGTTACATTTGAATATTTACACACATCCACATACAGATTTAATAGATTTTTTTCCAAAATTGCACTGACTACTATAAAATATGAGACATAAGGCCCTATGATTTCCGCGATGTGGAAAACATGGAGTGGTTCATAGAATCCAGTCATAAAAACGGAATTCCTATAATGCGGAATGTCACGGAATATGCCACATTTTGGATGAATAGATAAAAAGTAAGCCAGTAGACTTGAATCAAAATGCGATATGGACTAGTGCAGTGGTCACCAACGTGGTGCCCGTGAGCACCTGGTAGCCCGCATGGAGTCTCTGAGTCAACCCGCCAAGCACGTTCTATAAATAGCCTAAATTAGCGTCGGGCGATAAATGATATCATATCGAGATTATGATAAAAATGTATGTTAATAATGATGATAAGCTCTAGAAATTTTTACTCAATATGGATTAATCTAACATCTTGTCACACAACACAACAGAAATAAATGTTACAGCAACCAGTCAGTGCATGTCGCTAGTAAGTCTGCATGTTCTGTGTCTCTCTGAATGCGTGGAGTAGTTTCATCTGATACACAAACTCAAACACACGCGACTCGCTGTGTTTTCAGCGTCTGCGTCTCAATATATGAGGACATGAACACATGCATATAAAATGCAAGATATCAAGATACATAAAAAAAAATATATATATATAAAAAAAATATGACACTTTGGGATTTCTATATTGCCTAAAATATCTAGATTTTGGCTTTGTTTGCGTGTGCACACCGATCGGTGTATGACATAAAAATACCTCGAGAGCATTTTGAAAGCATAAGGAACCGTCTGTATGGTATTTTGATGTCATACACCGATTGGTCTGCACACGCAAACAAAGCCAAAATCTAGATATTTTAGGCAATATAGAAATCCTGGCCAGGACCCGTCCTGGGAAAATGGCACGTATGGTCACCCTAATATATGTATATATGTATTGGAGTATATCAAACAAGTAGCCCTTGAGACTATTTTATCCCTTCAGGGAGCCCTCACTCACAAAAGGGTTGGAGACCCCTGGACTAGTGTCAGTGAATATTAAGCCGCAAAAACACAATATATGAATCCTGCATGTACTGTGTGTCTCGCAGTGTTTTCAGCCTCTGTTGCCTCAATATATGAGTACAACAACACATACATATAATCTCTAGAACTGCTCTGAGTCACTTCATGAGCATTTTACAATTTCTTTCGAGAAAACTATGGTCATATCATATATAAACAGACACCAATGTTTCAGGAGTTTAGTAAACAGAATAGCTATATGCAGCAAAATATGCTATAACCGGATTTGGGTGGATGTATATGCCTTTACTTATTTTTTTATTAATTTTATTTTTTTCCAAAACATTGTTAGATGCCAGTTTTTCCTGTAGTTATGTGAAGATTTGGTTTCAAAAACAGTATCAGTAAACTATTTCTTATTATTTTAAATCTGCATTGAACTTCAGATCAATCTCAAAGTAAAAGGTGGTACTTATATCGGCTTTTTGTGGTGGTTGTGTTATTATCATCTTGATCAGTGATGAAGGATTTTGAAAGTCTGACAGTAATCCGTGTTGAATACTACTGTAAGGTTAACGCTGCATGGTGTAAATGTTTGAAAATGATTAACAGTTTTAGAAATTTAGAAAAGAAATCAAAACGTAATCAAATGTAATCAGTTACATTACTTTAATAAACTTTAATAACTTGTAATCTGTAACCTATTACATTTCCAAAGTAACCTTCCCAACACTGCTAACCTTATTGCATGTTCATTTGTAGGCGTCTCCCTTACAGACACAAAATGTATAGGTGGAGAGTATTTGAATGTATCATGCAAGGTTTGCACTAGTCAGTTTACTCGTATTTGTGCCATTACTTAACAGCCAAAAAAGCATGACTTAAGCCAATATACACTTGTGTTATTAGTAGATTACATGCACCTGATTATCATCGCTAATTGGTAGATTGCATTGGTCATTAAGGGTGATTATGGAAATGGAAATGGACTGGCTACATCTGTGTTCTTTAATTTGCGCAATGTCACCCTCAGAACTTTCCACTCACATCGCCGCTTTTATGGGATTGCGATCTCACGCTTATTTGCCCTGTTTAGTAAATCTGGTTCTAAAAGGTTTGAAGCAAGTAAATGATGTTACCTTTTCTCCTTGTTGAATGACTGTATCAGGTAAGCGTGATACTTCGCCAACCTGCCCTGGTGGCCCAGGAGGTCCTTGTAATCCACAGTCACCCTTCACACACAAAAATACACACATTAAAAACCCAACTGTTAATAAACCTGATGAACATGTTGTTCTTGCCACAGAACCAGCTGCATACCTTCTCTCCTTTGGGTCCTTGGAAGTTCAATCCCATGTTTCCCTTCAAGGTAAAGAGACACATTAGCACTTTGACAAAAAGTGAGATAAGAAAAACTCGACACTGTTCAATTGCAGCATTCAAACTTACCTTTGGCCCTGGTGGACCAGGAGGGCCTGGACGCCCCTGAAAAACAATGGAATTTACAAATAAAATTAATTATAGTATTTGCAAAATTCTAAAACTGTATGAGCCAGATTCACAGCCCTTCATCTGAAATATGCAAGGTGGAGTCTAATTCACAAAAGCTTACAGCTGCACAAATTAACAAATAAAGTGCAATCAGTGTCTTACCTCGTACCCTTGTGGACCAGAAGGACCAACAGGACCTGGAAAACCCGGGGGTCCAGGATTACCCTATATATCGTAACCAGAGTGTTATGAACTAGTTATGTCATATTTATCGGCACTTCAAGAAATACACATATTTTCTGTTAAATTGCTGCTACAGTATAGAAGGCAGAAATAGTCACAACTTTGAGATATAAAGTTGCAATTACGAGAAACGTTTTTGGGTGGCTTTAACTTTAAAGGGGTCATCGGATGCAAAGTTGATATGATTCTTTAGGGTCTTAGTGAAAAGTCTATAACATACTCTCTCAATTGAATTGAAGCGCATTCCCTTCAAAAACAAAAGTAATCCTCTGTGTCTTCAGCGGCTCAGATGTCAAGAGTAAATGACGACTGCTATGTTCCTTATTACATCCAACAACAAAACACCTCGGTCTCTTAGGAGAAATTCTTGTCTACCCCTGCTCCGGCGTCGAAACAATGGCGGACTGACGACAGCTCACTCAGGTCTAAGGTAAGATGCCAGTGTCAATCAACAATCGTGGGAGGGGCCTGCCAGTGTGACGTCACACCGCCAAGAATCTGAGAACGGCTTGATTTGAAAAAGGGGTTATGATTTATCTGGATTAAAAAAAAAACACTGGGTGGATTTGTATCATTATAGGGTGGTTGTGTACACACACTGCCAACACACATTTCACTTCAAACAACATGTACAATTTTAATTTTTCATCTAATGACCCCTTTAAGGTGGCTTATATAGTAAAGAAATGAATCTTGTTATGATACTTGTTTGAAAGGGTACACAGTGAAATCCACTATGAGCATATCCGCAGTTTGGGTCAAATTATGCTTTGATTTCAAAATGTAGAGTTAATTTTACCCCAAACATTCATGGGAACATGAGTTTCACTGTTATTTGGAAAAATCTGGTTCTGTTGCTAATTGATTTAGAAATGCTCACCCTGGAGCCTGGTAAACCATTAATGCCAGGATCCCCATTTTCTGAAGGCCGATTAATTTCTATGACATCCCCAGGCTCTCCCTACAGAAAAAAAGGAAAAGGTATTTATAAACATAATTTCACTCGTATCCTAATATGTATTGAAGAAAGTGTGCCACTGTAATGCAGAACATAAGCATGTGCATTACGGAATGAAATAATTGCCTTTTGTCCTATAGAACCTAGTGGACCCTGTGGAGCCAAGAAAATATGAATTATTTTGAGAATAATGACTTCAAATATTTCTGTGAGTGCATGACAGTATGCTTGCAATTTTTAAATGTGACATAAAGCAACACTTACTGGTGAACCCACTAAACCTGGAAGACCTGGACTTCCTGTGAATCCTCGTTCACCCTTGTAAAAAAAAAAAGTTAATGTTTGTTTGCTCTTTTTAAAGTTTTACTTGAGATTCTTGTTTGTAGTGTTTCATACTTTGGTTCCGTTACAGCCTGGAACTCCTTTGGGGCCTGGGGGGCCATCCTGTCCTGGGAGACCCTGTCAGTCAAAACAGCACATACATGCTTATAACTATAACTATTACTATTGAACAACGTGTTATTCTATATTCTGTCAATGAGCAATGAGTTTTCTGCAAATTATGTCTGATGGATAATTTGATGATATGATCAAGGTGCACCAAGGTGCACATATTACACAAACTGACAATGAACTCCATTGTCAACAATATTCAATGTGGATTTAATCAATCAGTTCTTGCAGCCGTAATGATGTAATCTGCTTAAGAAATGTCCTCTAAAAAGTTTGTCTCTTATTGATTCACTCACTGGGATTCCTGATGTTCCTGGGAAGCCTGGTAATCCAGGAGGTCCCTGCAAAAACAGAAACGGTCAGCATTTGTTGATAACTGTGGATCCATTATGAGCCAGAAACTGTTACGGAGAAACTCTCACTCTTATTCCTTTAGGCCCACTCGGTCCGGTAGTTCCATCATCACCCTGTGCGAGAAACAAAGTCCAGTTTTAATAGAAGCAATAGTATAGCTGATCAATAACAGACTCAGGTTGATCAGTAATTATATATACAAATATATGAATATCACAGTGGACTGATGTCCTGACCACTGACCTTCTCTCCACGAGGTCCGATCGGCCCTTCTGGTCCTGGGAAACCTGGAACACCTGATTGGCCCATTAAACCTGGAATCCCTCGCTCACCCTGTCATTATAGTTAGGAAAATGTTTAAAGAAAGTCATAAAAGACCAAAGGAGACACAGCATCATAGAGAGCATTATCATTATGGATGTACACAGAAGATCACATAATTCAGAAAAAAACAATAAAACAAAGTAATGTAAACCTTTCATGTGATCCTATTAGACTAGCGTCTCAGATAAGATTTCAAAACCACAAACATCTAAGCATACAGCATACATTACCCAGTGCAGCACTTCTGGTAGCACAAGTAAAAATGAAAAGATTCAGGCTTTTGTTGAGTTCATGTTCACCTCTTTTGAACTTTAAATGAATATGGTTTGGCTTAGTGAAAGGGCAAGAATAGCCACGCAACGGATGCATTAAATACATTCATATTAGCCTACAGACATCAGTCTACAGGTGCGTTCCATTCGACCGTAAATGCCCTACAAAGTGGATTTCACAGGCAATTCCAATCTGAAGGGAGCAAACAGTAAACGGCATAGGGAATAATGGAACATCAATTCATCAATACATACATATGCATATTAAAGTATAGCAATTTATATTATACTTATCTAAAGAAGTGTATTCTGTTATCATTCCTCAAACTCCTCTAATAAGTGCAACTCAAGTTTCATCTGTGTTTGATGATGTTGCAGGGTGTTCGGAATGAAGGCATTTTTTTGGGTGAAGTGAATTTCAACAAATATCCCGTTCTCTGGAGCATTGAACACTGCACAGGGACCCTGTCGACTGGAACGCAGCTTATGTACAGTATGTGGCTGTTTGTTTGTGGATAAACACTCACCCTCTGTCCTTTCACCCCACTGCAGTCACACTTTGGTCCAGTCCCACAACCATGACACGCCTGAAAACACAAAGCACAATTTATTTATAAGCACACAGAACAGATTTTGGAGATAAAAAAAAGTTTGGAATAATTCCGATTTTTTTTTATGTTGTTAAAAAGACGTTTGTTATGTTCACCAAGGCTACATTTATTTCATCAAACACTCTCAGAAAAAAAGGTACAAAAGTTGTCACTGGGGCAGTACCTTTTCAAAAGGCACACCTTTGTACCTAAGGAGTCCATATTGGTACCTTAAAGATACATATAAGTACCTAAAGTGTACATATTAGTACCTAAAAGGTACCGCCCCAGTGACAGCTTTTGTACCCTTTTTTCAGAGAGTGAAAACACAGTGAGAACAATAATATTTTTAAATACTACTGCAATTTAAAAGAACTACTTTCTACTTTAAAATGTAATTGATTTCTGTGATGGCAAAACTGATTTTCAGCTTCAGTGTTATATGATCCTTCAGAAATAATCAATTATTATTATCTATGTTGAAAACACTTTGCTTAATATTATTGCTTAATTTCAATAATTTTATTCAGCAAGAATACATTAAATTGATCAAAAGTAACAGTAAAGATAGTTTTGTTTGTACCTAAGGAGTCCATATTGGTACCTTAAAGATACATATAAGTACCTAAAGTGTACATATTAGTACCTAAAAGGTACCGCCCCAGTGACAGCTTTTGTACCCTTTTTTCAGAGAGTGAAAACACAGTGAGAACAATAATATTTTTAAATACTACTGCAATTTAAAAGAACTACTTTCTATTTTAAAATGTAATTGATTTCTGTGATGGCAAAACTGATTTTCAGCAGCCATTTCTCCAGTCTTCAGTGTTATATGATCCTTCAGAAATAATCAATTATTATTATCTATGTTGAAAACACTTTGCTTAATATTATTGCTTAATTTCAATAATTTTATTCAGCAAGAATACATTAAATTGATCAAAAGTAACAGTAAAGATAGTTTTGGTACAAAAGATTTTTATTTCAAATAAATGCTGTTCTATTGAACCTTCTACTCAAATAATGAATAACAGTTTCAACAAAAATATTAAGCAGCAAAAACTGAAACTCAAAATTGATCATAATAACAACAACTATTGCTAACAGTCTAAATAATAATATTATCATTAATATAAAATACAAGTAGTTATTAGAAATAATAATAGCCAATAATAATTGATGATAATTAACTACCAAATGATTTCTGAAAAATCATGTGACACTGAAGACTGGAGTAATAGCTGCTGAAAATCGGTAGTGTATGGTATGCACACAAAATGATTGTAAACCATAAAACCACCTTCAGTCAATGTCATGAATGAAGTCTAAGCACAAGAGCATCTTTACAGTTCGTTTAAATGAAGTTTCACCACTCATCATCATCAGGGGAACAGTGAAGTCATTAATCCTGACAGTCCTTGTTCACCTGAAATGTTTACAAAGAATATCTGCATGACATACTGACACCTATGGACACAAAATAGCTTTTATTACACTACTGCTATAACCGGAGTCTTCATCTCTTGTGAGTGAACAAGACATGAAAACATTTATCAAAAGTACTATTCGTTTATGTTTTTTTTATGAGGGAAAAACCACTGGCTGAACAATTACCATAAAAAGTTAAACAAATGTACAGAGGATCTAGCCTATTGCAAAGTGAAAACCCTGGCAAATGAATGAAAACTATGTCAACAGCGTAATGCACACTGTTGAGTCAGAATAAATGACATTAGATTGTAATTGCTTTCTCTTTGTGCTATAAAAGGCCCATGGGCATTTTTGATACAAACACTAGATGGCGCTATTTTCTTTCTGAAATTACTACTACCTCTTAAAACATGATCACAAAGATCTCAAGTAGAGAAGAGCTGTTTTTATGTCAGATTTTGGAAAAATAATAAAAAAATGTTTTTTTCTTGAGCAGCATATTAGAATAACTTCTGAGGAATCATGTAACACTGAAGACTAATATGAACAATAATATGAATATTCAGCTTTGCCATCACATGACTAAACTACATTTTAAAATAGGCCAATATTCATATAGAAAGTTTTTTTTATTATTATTTCACAATATTGGCGTTTTACTGTATTTTTGAATAAATAAATGCAGCCTTTAAAAAAAAAAAATTCTTACCAACCTCTTTTTATCTTTTGAACAGTAATGTACAATTTGAGACAGACTTCACATCTTGTGTACTTCTATATTTCCCTTCTATGTTTTTTGAGACAGAAACAATATTTTACAGTCTATGTTTAAAATTATTATTATTGCAAAATGAGATCACTGCTCTGAGAAGTACAACTATCTGTCTATAATTGTGGTTTCATTTTGTGAGCTTGCGTGAGGCTTTTGGAAGACAGTTCTTCAATACGAGAAAAGTGATTCTGAAAACATCCAAAGCAACTCTAGCATAGTGCATAGTAAACTACACTAGTGAAAGCCACACAGAAAATATGTGCATACTTGTTTAAGTGCACATACGAAACAGAACATCAGTCCTGAAGGTCATACGCATGCAAACAGTTTTATAGCTTGTCTCCAGAATCTCAAGGTCTAAACAGACAAGCTTGTCAGTTTTCTTAAGGTCAGCACAGTCATATACTGTCAAAACTTAACTTTTCATTACATCAAAACAACTGACATGACAATGTATTGATCAGGTGTCAGTAACACAGGAACAAGGCCCTTAACAGTGCATGCATACTAAAAACTACAACACTGAAGTATGACATTAAACACAAAGCTGCATTATCTGAAACAAGCACCCAGCTGAATATTTACACTGAATACTGCTGAAACAAAGTAAGCATACAAACAATGATATATAATGCTAATAGGACAGAACTGGGCAGATTTAATTAAATCAAATGAGACCTCAATATTTAAGATCAAGGCATCCTTGAATCACAATAGAAACAATACAAATCCCTGACAAATAAAAGGCCTTATAGAAAGATTCCTCTTTTTGCAGATTATCTCATGATGACCTGCAGAAAAGCAGACAAAAACAAATCCTGACAAGCACACCTGCTTGATTCAGCACCATTATGCTATTGAAAAAGACAAGCACAAAGAGTCCTGGAAAACAAAGGAAAATATGAGCTGTGAGCACTGAATGTTCAATGCACTTTCTTAAAGGTAGATGACTATACTGTATGTTATGTGTAAACTACCCTTATGATTTTGGATTAAATGTATATGAATGTTTGTGAAAAAGTGTATATAAAATGCTGTTTAAATTAGTTTTTGATATAGCATGTCACATCAAAGGACATGCAAACTTAAGTATTTCATGTCAAAAACCTAAATGTGCCAATTAACAAATACTGTACTTCCACAAAATGAATTCAAAAAATGATGTATTGATGCATTCAACAACATGCCAAAACCCATTAATTGTTTTATATGAAGTGAAATACTCCTATACTCCTAGCATAAACCTTATAATAAAAAAATATTTTTTAAAGAGAGATTTTGTCATATTTTGCTATCCTTTGGTAACACATTTGTCCCCAAATTATATAAGTCTGCACACACACACACACACACACAAAAGAAAAACCTTAGCATAATTCAATAATTCTCACTACTATGCACAAAACAAGTTCAAAAGTTCATACACTACAGTTCAAAAGTTTGGGGTTGAAAGAAGTCTCTTAAAATATAGTTAAAATATTAATACTGTGAAATATTATTACAAGTGAAAATTATTGTTCCATTTCATGGGAACTTCGAACTGCGTCCTCTAGGGGTCGCTATGGGGGACGCCTCGTCGTGACCCGTGTCTGAAGCATACATTGAAAAAACACCAACTCGTTGGCCGGCGACAGCCATGACGTCACTACCGGTGCAACTATAGTACAAATAGGCACCGGGAGCTCACATCATTCTCTTCTTCGTCTTCATTGACTTTTGTTTGAAGCATGCATTTCTGTGGTAAGAGCAATCTATTCATCTCATTATGGCGAGCACTAGCAAAGCGTTTAAGGATGTGTGCATCAGTGTTGACGTTGTTTGACATCTGATGACAAACACGATCTATGTGTTATTTGTTTGGGTGAAGAGCACGCACGCGATGCCTCCGAGGGGGCAATCGGCGTGCACTGCGAGCGTTTTTTC